GTGTTTGTTTTTTTTGCTGTTGCTGCGGGGGGGTGGGGTGTTTTTGTTTGGCTGTTCCGGCAACAAAAAAACCGTTCCCTGTCGTGGCCCCTGAGTTGCAGCAGGTTTGGCTACGCTTCTATCTGTCAGGTCGCAGGCGGTCCTGGAACCGTCAATTTCAAATTAACGACAACAATCATACATGTTTTGCTGCGCCCCTAACACAGCCACTGGTGCGAGCGTGTACCTCATGAATGCAGTGGGCAGCTGACTGTCAATTAAACACACACGAGGAAGCAGCATCGGTCAGCCTACTCAACCAGACGCTTTCGATTACAAGCCGAGTCATGTTCGACTGTCAGCACTAGGCTACTCGAGTGCTACTCTGCAAGGGGGGGTGGCGGTTGGTGGCGACGTGTTGGTGGTGGCGATGCTGGTGATCATCATCGTCATCATCAGCATTATCATGATGCGGACAGCCATTCAACTTAGACGTCATCAACATATCCATCTTCGCCCTGGTCATCATCCTGCATCATTGTCGCCGGCCATCTCATCAACAACATCATCGTAATGATCACCAGCTTCATCATCATCACACCATCACCGACAACAACAGCAACAGCAACATCGTCGTAACCATCATTGAATCATGGATCATCATAGCTGCCATCATTGGTAATCATCCCCACCCAGATCTTCAGCATCACCGTCATGGCCATCATCACAACTACCGCCTTCATGTTCATCATGTTCTTCTGCTCCGTTGACATAACCGTCCGCATCTCTATCGTCACCAACACCATGATCATCTTCATTCTCAGACCTCGCCTTCATACAGTAACAAGCTGCTGCTATCAGCATCATCATCATCATCATCATCACCGCTCCAGCAGCAGCAGCAGCAGCAGCAGCAGCAGCACAACCCACGAAATGGCTGGATGCAAAGCGTGCTCCTCCTGCTCTTCCTTCTCACAGTCTCACAGCAAACATGTTCAGCATCAGCAGTAAGAGCTCACGGTCTTATCATCACCAGCAGCTCTTCTGACCGGCTTGGGATCCAATACCCCCACTCCTGCGAACCATCACGGTTGCCTGCAAAGCCTCCATGCCCGCATGTTCAGGCACCGACATCACTGTCGGAGTCCTCGTCATCCTTGGGCCCACGGCCACTCGAAGCCTGGTGAGGCAGACTTTGCTGGGAGCGCCTAGTATCCTGATTGGTTTCGGTGACGAAGGGCTGAGGCAAGGTGTGCCAGGTGGACATATTGATTGGCCTGAGTTACCTGTGCACAGCTTAGCTTAGAGGACAAGCGGTCCCCTGTCTTTGCCGGTCTGTCCGCATCGTCGTCTTCACGCGAAGCAAAATTTCGCGAACTTCGGCAGATGACGCTCGGGAACGTCCCCACAGGTCAAGCTCGGATTTGCCTTGCATGATGTCATGATGCCCCGCAAACCATGCCTGAACCGTTCCGCGCTTGCCAACTGCATGCGCGGTTTGTTTACCAGAACCAGTACCTCCGCCCCACCACGAACCACAACAACAACAACAACACCAACACCAACAGCAGCAGCAGCAGCAACAACAACAACAACAACAACAAGACCAACCACACCAACGACACCAACAACACCACAACCGCCGCCAGAACCACCAACACCAACACCAACACCCACACCAACACCACCAACAACAGCAACCACAACAACAACCACCACCACAACCAACAACCAGCAACCAACAACCAACAACCAACACCATCCAACACCCGCAACCACAACAGCGACGACGACGACGACGATACAAACGCCAACGCCAGATCCAATAGCACGAACAGCGAAAGCAACAGCGACAGCACCAGCAGCAACAAATTCACAAGAATAAGAAGATAAGCAAATGCAGCCAGTACGCCGGGGTACAGAACAAGACCTGCGACACACGGCCGATCACTGCTGCCGCCGCCACTACCCTCAACCACAACTACAACAAGCAGAAAGGAAAACCCGTGATCATCGTAGGAAACATAACATATGCGCAAGCACTAATCATGAAGCGACACCAAGCAAAGCTTAAGGACATCGGCCGACATCAAGGCAACTCAGAGTAAACAAGACCCCAACAACAAAGAACAACGACCGCAGGCCGAGCCCAAAGCTCTCATGCTGGGCAGTGAGGCAGCCGGCATCATGGAAGGCAGCGCCTCGGAGGCGCCGGGCAAGGAGAGTCCGAAGCACAATTCCTACTGCTGTCAGAAATGCATCCGACACCATTTACAGCCGACAGAAATACCAGCCCTTAGCCATACTGCACAAATCGCAGCCCCTTCGAGGGCCATGCAGATGGAACAGCACCGCGCATCTGATGGGAAAGGTGACGATGCAATGCACTCTCACTGCATAGGCTTTCTTAGGCCCCGAGACTTGAGAGAACCAGTAAAAAGCAATGCCACAGCCCCGCATAAGAGGTGTAACGAAGTGCTCAGTCATCGCATGGAAACCGAGGGTTAGCTTGCCCTCAACGGCCTTCTGGCGCTGGGCGATCCAGTCCTTTGGGAGTTGGGTTGGGTTCGGTTCGACGTGCTTTGGGCACCGTGCTGAGGTTAGGTTTGCACAACTACCGCCATCAGTTCAAGTTATTCTAAGTTCTATCCATCCGTTCCTCGTACGTCTCCAGTTAACCGTCCTCGAGACACGCGTTGACAGCGCGGTTGTTTCATACCGTGTTTTCAGGAACAGCGTTGGTCAACTTCGCTGCGAGTACCGGAACCTGAGTGAGCTCCGGGCAAGCTCGTCATCACCGCTGTCCTCCAGCAGCTGGCAAACCGGCTTGGAAGCAAAAGGAACGGTGCATGGTAGAAGTCCTCCTCGTCGCTTTGATCTTTTGCTGCTGCTAGCGCCCACGCCTGGCTGACATGACACAGCAATGGCCTATCATTTGCAGTTATTGCAGGATGCTACTACAACTGCGAATCCGAGTTCGTTAGCTCCGAACGCTGCTTGGAGCTGACGACAGTGGCCAAGATCCATGATTAGCTGAGATGCAGGCATCCGAGCTACAGCTACACCTTTCAGACGGCCACACAGGGCACGTGACCAGTACAGACCGCAGACCGACACCGACAGTCGACCTGCACACGGACCCGAACAAAGACCAAAACACCCGATCCAGACATGGACAGGTGACAAGACCCGGACCCGTTCGAATGTTGACTGTAGGCCTGAATCAGAAGGACTACTGCAAACGAAAGGCTACACGGCCACACAATCTGATGGAATGCTCCTGAGGATTCCAAACTAATCATGCTGCAGCGACCCGTAGATTGGAACCACTTCCTGGGCCCAGATTAGCACGTACCTCAGCTGTCAGCATCACCAGGACCGGACAGCCACGAGTGCAGACATGGCCAAGCGGAAAATAGCAAGCTTGGGGCGATGTCACTGTGCTCACGTGCCACTGACTTCACTGACTCCTTGTGCTTTCAACAGCGACATGTAGTGACGACTAGCAAATCGAGCACGCGGGGTCGCAACAAGAATTGCGACGGAATTGCTCCGAAGCATAAAACGTTATCTGGCAAAGGAAGTCACCACATCCTGAGACACTTCAGTCTGCCTCATGTGTGCAACTTCTATTTGTCGACTTGTTCTTTTAGCCCATCTCTTGCTGCTGTGCTCTGAAGGCTCTGATGGTCCCAGCCGGCTGGAACTTGGCCATGCTGAAGATCTCTTCCGTACCGTCCTCCTGAAGTCGGGGAGGCCAGGGCTACCTCCTCTTCGAACCCTTGCAGCGAACTGGGATCAGCTCTCGAGGCCCAGGAGACTTCAGCTTCCATGCTTAGGCCTAGGCTTTCACAGACAGACTCACACAGACAGCCAGTGACAGACAGAGACAGAGACAGACACGCCGGCAGGCAGCCAGAGAGCCACACACATGCGCGGAAACAAACCCACAAACAATGTTCCACAGGCTGTGCTTCCAACATCGACTTTTGGTGGAAAAGCAGTTTCGGGATTGTCCTCATCAGACTCATCCTCACGGACGGCGGTCGACGGACCTCCACTGCATGGGACTTTCTTCTGGTTCTGCGTTCTTCGCAACCCGGCTGGAGCTAACAACTGTCCGTCGTGATCCAAAGCAGGTGATGAGCCGGTTCCATCCGAAGCCTCGCCGACCTGTGGCTGCAGGCCTCCGGTGAAGTGAAGTCTTGCGCACAGCGGGGCTTCACATTGGACATCTTGTCATTATGTCAGCGTTTTCGGACCTAGTTGGAGGAGGCAATGAATCTGAAGTACTTGCGCCAGCGGAGTAAACTCGTGCATACGGGGGGACGAGTGAGTTTGAAATAGAAGAGCAGAAAGGGACGACACAGAACTTGTTGAGGAGCGAGCGAGGACGTTGAGAGGGGGGGAGGCAATGATCCAATCCGTTCGAGAGTGGCAAGCAGCAAGCTTTTCGAAAGGGATTGCAAAAAGTTGGAAGAAGACCAGACTAGAGAAGTCGGCGGAGGAGAGCACCGTAGCCGAAAGGGACTAGAGTCCAGAGCTGTTCAAGAGAGGTCAGCAAAGCCGTCAAGGCTTTTCACGGACACTCCACGCCAAGCGAGAACGTCAAGAAAATAACAGTGAGGCGATTCCAGCCTCGGGGACTCTGGAGCATATCCACTGCCTGCCAATTCAGGGTTTAAGGCTTATTTAAGGCGGCACACGGAAGTTTGGACTTGTCGAACGTGCCAGTGTGGAACTACAGGGCTTGGTTCCAAGGAGGAGGCTACGCGTACTGCTGCAGAAGTCCAGCCAAGATGTTGTTGGTTCAGGACCCAGATGGAACCTCTGCTACAATCTCAGCACACAGCAACAGCTCTACGAAGATGCGACGCCGCAAGCTTCAATGATTCAAACGGGCCGCACCTTTGGAGTCGTCTCTGCTCCTGACTTACGACTTGACACGGATGACACTCTTAAGAAGCGGCACGGGAGGACCTTCGGATATGCGCCGGATACAACGATGCCTCTGTCAAGCTGCTTTCAGGCTGCCTAAGCTTAGCTTATTAGTGTGTCGCACGCGACGCACTAACTGCTCATCAGTCTCGTGCTGGGTGCTTCATCATGCTCGCGGCACTGTTGGGCAGCGCATACCTGCTTGCCACCCACTTGAGGAATCGGCTGGACGGTTTGTGCCCTCAGTGCAAGAGCTGCCGTGTCTGAGCGCCATATCTATCTCAGCCTCCCGGAATGAACGACTGGATTATGGCTATGGAGGAAGCGCCTCGCTAATTTCTTCGGAGCACGAGCTCGTGGTTTGAGCGCTGCCGACACTCAGCACCGACAGCAGCACGGGTTGTAGCCTACAAATCATCGCATTGCCCAAGGTCTTCTTGGAAGCAATCTGAAGCAATTCAAGCTCAGCTCAGTCGCTGTGTGAAAAGCCAGGCATGCGCCTTAATTAAGTGCCATCGTGCGTTCTCTCGTCGACGATCTCGTTCACGGCACGTTAGCAGTCATCATGCCATAGATTTCATGCTACCGACCGGTCCGACCGATGGCAGCAAGGCACAAGTTGAAAGTACGACAAACAGCCGCAAAAGACAGCTCAGTCGCGCAAATTCTGATTCGACGCTGGCTGCAAGGATCGCCACTTGCATGGCTGGAAGGCTGCATCCGTCTTTTCCCAAGGCTTTTTGATGCACTTGCAAGGCGAATGCTGTTTGTGTCCGAATTCCCCCGGGAAGGGAAGGATACAAATGAACAGCCACCATGTCAAGTCAATCGCAAGCTGACAAAACACACAACATCACTTTAGTTGATCAGCTTCTCCATCTGCTCAGCGTCCAGGTGCTGCCCGAAAACGTACTCATCCTGGCACCGGCGCTGGCATGTCGACTATTGTACTTCGCTGCAGCCTCGGCAGCCTCTGACAGCGAAACTAGAGCCCTCTCCTGCTCGCCATCCCAATCCAGCTGCCACTGGTTGAAGCCAAACCGCGGATTGTCCTGACACTACTTACGCGGGACGGTTCAGCAAAGCCGGAGGCTGGAATCCTGAATACTCTGAAGCTCTTAAACCTGATGGCAACTGGGACTCAGAGTGTGTCAATGGGATGGTTTATCGGCAGCTGTTCAGCCTTCAGCATGTTCTACATTTACTTGCACCTGGACATCAAGTGAAATGCGAAACAAGTCATGCGTAGCCCACCGCTCCTGCCGGGCAGACAGGAAGAAGTCAGCGTTGGTGATGGCATCGAAGACGGGGAGCTTGGTTTCGTGGCGCAAGGCGTCGGCATAGGGCGGCAGCCTAAGGCATCGGAGTTAAGACTTGAGAGTATTCACACTCCGTCTGTTTCACGATTTACGGTATCGACAATGGTCCCGAAGATGCCGTTGGGGATCAGATCAGTTCGCAACGTGGCTCTTACCTGCTAGTGAGGAATCCCGTGGCTTTGTGGAAGGGATCCCGCTATTTTTGTTGCCTTGCTCTTGCTCCTGCTCTTGCTGTTGCTCTGCTTTTGCTCTTGCTCTTGCTCTTACTCCTGCTCTTGCTCTTGCTCTTGCTCTTAGTCACTGTGCTCTAAGGGTCACTTGGAGCCTCGAAACCTTCCCCCTCAATTCAGAATAGGTTTTAAAGGGCAGGGATAACTTCGGGAGGATTGGCCCCAAAGGGGGGGTTCAATTAATGGGGGAAGGGATTGGATAGGTACAAGTAGGCAGGTGGAGACTTAGATAGACAGAAAAATATATAGCAAATTCTAAAACTGTAAAAGCTACCCGCTACACCTCAATGATGCTGCGATGGCGGTTGATCGCTTTACCTACTAGGCGGCTCTTGGCTTTTCGTTCGTTAACTTCTTTATTTCCACGTGTCTTCAAAATTGTAGTTACGTCTTTCATATGTTCATGTCTGTGCATCACGTTGTTTCGTTCTCTCGCTTTCTTGCTTCCTTCCTTCCTCCACCTCTTTCGTCGTTCAGTCATTCTTTCGTTCTTTGTTTCGTTTGCAGTTGAAATCAGACACAACATAACACAGACAAAAACACCCCAAAGACGAAAGCAAATCCCACGGCAGCACGCACCAGCGGTTCTATCAACAGTGCAGAACATAAAAACAAGCCTGAACAATGCCAGGCCCTGAGACTGCTACTGTCGAAACGGCCTACAGTGCTCACTCGTGTCCCGGGCTTTGAGAGACGTCTTTCGTTCCGGCACATCTGCAACAGAAAACCCCCTCCCCCAAGGTCGACAAACTCTGGCTGTACCACGAGCCAAAGCGCTCTGTGCACTCGAGCAGGATGGCACGGATCGACGCGTTGCTCTTCAGGATCTGCTTGACCTCTGGAGAAGGCGACATGGACTCTTCACTGCTCCCTGTTGTCTTTCAACTCAACTGTTGCGAGCTGGATGATTTGACGCATGTTGCTCTTTGCCGAGTCCCAGACCATGTAGACAATGCCCGGCTGCACATAGTCGACGTCCACCTGCAGGCACTCACTCCCCACGTCATGCTCTCTACAATCCGCGTCTTCCCCAAGGCTGAAGCCACACACGGATGGCATGGCTGGCAAACGGTCTCCCCAAAAGCGGGGGTCCCATCCCTTCCAAATGAATGCAGCTTGGCCTTCTCACCTTTTGCAACAGCGTCGAAGCCAGGAACATCCCTGCACATGTACAGCATCTGCGATACAGGGTGAAGGTGGCACGCAGAAAATGGGCCAAGGCCACGTCAGAATGATGAGTAGAATGATGGACCAAAAGAGTCAGAGAGAAGCTTTCAAGGATAACATACTGTAAGCAACAGCTCCATTAGCTGCTAGTTGCTGGTGCGATACCACGAAGCACAGGTGCTCTGATCATCGGGCGCCGTGGGGAGGCCCAGGACATATGGTATGTCCAAGGTTGTCGCATCTGCCAGCCAACGGCTCTGAAGATTACCACTTCCCGCAAAGCCTGAAAAAGGAGTGATAACCTCCGAAAGACAAGCGGCGACACATTTCGCTGGTGCGATGGTGTCGGTTTTGGGTAAGAGCACAACAGCAGCTACACAATAAAGACGGGAAGAATACTCACACTCGGACTTCAACCAGGAGACTGGCAGCCCTTGATCATGAAGCGGGCATCGTCAACGTCGAAACCACAGCTGCTCAAAAGCGTCTCCTGCAGAGAAGTCAACGAGTTGGGCTTTGGGGCATCATGTGTGCACTGACGAGCAAGCTGTCTCCTTCTGCGGCTTCAGTGTGTCATCATTCGCGGTGAGAATCAGCACCTGCCAAACCAAGGAAGCAAGCATGAATGCCCAAGTGGTACATTAATTCTGCACCAAGTCGGAAAGCGAAATGGTTCCTTCTAAAACTCTCTTGAGATGGTGTGGTCTGCAGATCAAGACTTGCGTCGGACACCGGGCCATCTGGGCCCGGGCTGTACGACTGTAGGATAAGGAATTTAATGATTAAAGCCGTCTGGCTCCTTGTCGTACTTGTCGAAAGCAACGGAGATCATCGGGCACTGTATCATAGAGCTCCTGGCATCTGTTGATCAGGGGAACAGCATCCTCAAGGCAACTGAAGGTCCCGGCCGGATGTCATCTTCGTGACAAAACAAGCCACAAGCCATTGCCCCCGCATCCCGACGCCAAAACAGAAAGACCGACACTGATTGGCAGCAGCGGCTCATGAAACAAGGCACACGGGCCACTTGACCTTGGATGTGCATCTGTGGCGGCTTGGGTAAGGAATGCATGCATCCGTGGGCCTGTATGGGCCCTTGTTTAGTTTAAGGGAGTCAACTGTTTTGCGACAGTTGTGGTTATGAATGTATCTTCTACGGATTCTCGTGAAAGACTCTGTGTCCACGCTTGCCATGGCCTCCTATAACTGCTGTGCCCTCCGTCCATCGTCGCAAGGCTGGACGAGAACGTTGCAGAGTGTCTTTGATCGGAAAATCATGACGACTCTGCAAGCGGAGGCAGCAAGGACTTCAAGTCGAGTCAAGAAGCGTGCCAGAGGCTGGAACGCCATCATGAAACCACAGTCCTAAGATATCCCAAGCGCCAAGCAGGCAACAGACAGAACAGGAAACGACCTTTGCATACACGCACGCATACACACAAGCGCGCACGTCGCGCCGCGTACACGCGCACGGCGCGCCGCGTACACGCGCGCACACACACACACACGCACACGCACACGCGCACGCACACGCACACGCACACGCACACGCAAACACACACACACACACTCTCATGCCCACCTTCCCGCCTCCACACCCCTGTGATCTTGCGTCTCTCGGCTGCTTTCTCTCCGTTTTCTTGGGGTAGGCAGGAACACCTCTCCTTTCTCCATGTTGAGGGCATTTGAAGGCCCATATGTTGTGGTGGCTCCATGTATGTACGTGTTCTCCATTGTTCTCCCAAAACGAAATAGAAACACAGACACACACACACGCGTAATGCAACTGCAGCTGTCACAAGGATCTACAAGGCATATTTGGGTCAAAGCATCACCTGTGATGCCGCTGCAGCCTTTGTTTTCCAACCACTTCACGGCGTCGATGAACTCCTGTAGGGGACAACCAGCAGAGAGT